TTATAAAGTTTTTGTATTTTCGATTTTTCTCGCTGAAAATTTTTTCTAAAAATCTGAAATCGACTTTTTATTACACAACTCGATGAGCTCCATCCAATCATGTATAAATATCACGAAAAAATTTCTGCTTAATTTTTGAATTACCGGCGCCTTATTTGTAAAATAAATAAATAGATCGATAATTTATAACAATGTTAGACAGGTAAATATGGCGCTAGATTAGATAAAAATAATTGAAAATCAATTGTTCCATAACTTTGTACATGTTGATAAAATTTTTGTGTACAATAATTTGCTATTATACTGTTTCGACTAACCAGGCTATTGTTTTGTTGAGCGTGATATGTATTTTGATAATGATGATGTAGCTGTTGAATTGTTCGAATTATTTTATATGAACTACGATGAGAAGTAGTCATTGACGTCTAGAAATGAAATGATCAGGGTTAATGTACAGATGAACAGAAAATCTGGGAGGTAAACAGCAGACCAAAACCATATATAGACTTCGGCCGGGAGTCGAGTGATAGTAATCCAAGTGAACACTCTGAAAGTTAAATCATTCACTTGATGAATAGAAAGGATACGATTTGGTTGTACTCCGTAGCTCAGAAGATTAACCAACTTTTTCTCATGTTTGTCTATCAGATTCTCTCTCCATCGTAACAAAAGTATGTATATTAGTTAATAACTTTTGTTTGACTTTCCATCTGTTTAGAGAAATGAACATAATTAACATTACAAAACAACAAGAACATTGTCTTACTTTAAACATATTATCCCATTGTTTAATTTGAGCACAAACTGTTGATAGACTATTCATTGTAATACAATCGGCCCAATTCCACAACTTTAGCGCATATAACGGTTGAGAACGATAACCATTTGGTCTTAAGCGACCAATACAAATATCTTCAAATTTATCGTAGACGGCTAGAAACACCAGTAATAGAATAGAGAAAGTTCACTTTCAAAAAAGTAACTGATTACCTTCAAAAGATGACGGACATAGTTCTTGTAATGCTTCAAAAACCATTGTCACATCCGGTAATGGGATAAAAGCTAATGCTAAAAGAAATTTGATTACTTTTTGTTCATCTTGTGTATGACATTGAATTTCTGAATGTATATTCTAAAATGGTAAGTAATGCTTATGATGTTAGATATCACTTCGTCTATCCTACTTGTGCATATTTGATTAGTTCTTGATTTAGAAATGTTAAACAAATTTTAATTTGTGTTTCTGGAAAATATTTTGTTAAAACATGAATTAATAATTTATCTAAATTTGTTATAAAATATTTTGGTTGAAAATTATTATTAGGTGGTTTAAATAATGTTGAAATTAATTTTTCATAATGTTCAATATTTGACATTTTCAATAGAGCGTATAAACAAGGTTTCAAATTTGAATCATCAACAATATGAATTATACAAATTGATTTAAAATAATCATTTTTAACCTGAAAACACAAACAATATCGTTAGAATAATAAACAAAATTTGGTTTTTATAAAATTTTACTTCGTTGAAGATAGTAATGAACCATATATCGGCTTGTTCAAGTTCTTTTATGTTTTCTTCTGATGTAATAATAATTTGTGATCTTTTTAGATTATTTAATTCTAATGTTGACGAGATTTGTTCATCATTGATGTTCAGATAGATAGAATGAAACGCACTAGAGTCAATAATCGATAGAATTTGTTCGTGTTCGCTACAAGATGTCATTGATGTTGCAGATGCGATAAGCAAACGATTTGTTAATGATTTTTGACGACGTCTTTGAATGCTGCGTTGCATGGCTGTCACAGACGGAAGATTTTGAACGGCTGCTTCAGTTACTGTTCTGATAATAGAAGAATGAATTCTAATTATGCATAACGATTAAAATAATTTTCTTATTTACCTTAGAAGTCGATCAACAATTTCTTTTGGTGTTTGACTTATATTATTTTTTGCTGTTGAACGTAGTTGATCGACGATTACTGCTGCTTCGGCTTTGCCGGGTTCAGATGAATGATTGTGCGATGATACGAGTGTGATATCATCATTTGATAAAGGAAAAGCATTAAAATATCCTTTTCCATTATAATCGTCTTTTGTTGATTGAATATGTACTCGACCACGGCATTGTTTTTTTGCGCAACGCCATTGTTCAGTACCATGATCATTTTTACGATCAAGACGATAGATATGACCGTCTAATAATAGTTTACGTTTTCCACGTTGAGTACTAATAATTTGAAAGGGCTTAAAAAAGAAAACTGAACTGTACAAATGAAAATGTGAAATTGTTGAAATTGAAAGAATATGTACCGGTTGAGTAATTTCATTCATAACAGGGATCGTTAATAATGAAGAAGAGGCTGCAGAGGAAATAGGCAATAGAGATGTGCACGGGTACCATTTTCGTACCCGTACCCTACCCGAAAATTTTTTTTCCACCCGTACCCGACCCGACCCGACAACTTTGTACCCGTACCCGACCCGACCCGAGAACTGTGTACCCGT